TGAACCGTACACGAGCCAGCGTAAAAACCCTTGGTGGGAAACTTCCCACCTACCCCTCCCCTAAGCCAACAGTTTGCCCTAAGTGGGAAGTAAGTGATGATATTGACGTAGGGGAGGGTGGGTGGTCAGTTTCCCAGAACCTAAATTGATCCAATCCTTCTTTAGGGAGAAAGGCAAGACGCGGCGTAAGGAGACTAAGGGGAGAGAAACAAAATCTTTATTCTCGCCTTTCTCACTTGGGTAATATTCACGAGAGCTCGCTTGTTTCACTCGCTCTTCTTCAGTTTGCCTAAGGAGAGATCAGTGACTACACGTTGGATAAATTCGAGGCCTTATCCTAGGTAAATTTGAAGCCAAATATACACGTTGGGATTCTACAATGTGGCCTTTAATAGCATTGGTGAGGTTTTCTTGGGAGAAACTGTACGGCTTTTTAAAGCGGGACAAATTGAAGCGGCCATTTAGCCCATTTAGCTACAAGATCGATGGCCGAAAAGAGCGTTTTCGCTCACGTGGCCAGCATCTGTGCTAATTCATTGGAACAAAAGAAAGCATTTACATGAGAAAAGAGTTAGAGTTAAACGCCTAGAGGATTTTCTTGGTACACCAACATGGCCGCCGTTTCATTGTTTTGGAACACGAATATGGCCGCCGTGACATCATGTGAAAACGCTCTATAGATGGACCTGACAGCGGCAAGGTGGAGTTGCATTGTCATTAGTCATACCGTAAATGACCTAATAAACGCCCACTTTCAAATAAACGCATTTGTCTAATAAATGCCCCCTGTCTAATAGACGTCTCCTGTGAGAATAACTCCAAAATACTAGGAATTAGCAAAAAGGAGCAATTCATATAGTTTCTTGCAATTGCTTATTTCACCAGGGTTTGCGTATTTCATATTGTTCACGTCAAGTTCCAAGTAAGGATAGATTAACGATGGCATCAAAATGACCTTGACCGAGGATTCTGATATCGATGTTGGGATTTGAAACAGCGATATGGATCTCTGGAAGGCCTAGACGTATCAATTGATGAAGTGCCTTCTGCTATTTAACCTCTGTCTTGATATTTTCGCCGAAAGCATATTAGTTTTGTTGAGCTTGTTACAGTTATGAAAAATAAACGCCTCTTATCTATTAAGCGCCCCTGCTTGGACCCCTAAAATTAAATAGACGCACGGGGTGTTTATCAGGTCATTTACGTTAACTATAAGTTCTGCAAAATGAACTTACCGGGAAGACCTGCCTGTCCAGCCGGTCCAGGGGGGCCTGGTCTTCCATCTCTTCCATCGCGACCTGAAAATTTGAGCGGAACTACGTACTAGTCACATGTGTCCCCCGGGGAGACATTCTTAGAACATCATAAAGCGTTTTACTCTAACAAGAGACATTCCCCCTGAGGAAGAGTGACCTGAGTGATGGACTTATAATAGTACCATTTCGGTTTAGAGTAAAAGGCATGCAAAGGAGTTTTGAAAGAAAACCGATTTGCAGAGATATCGAATTTATGCAGCTCCGCAATTCCAGTCGTCATCTGGAACTAGGAAATGGCCGAGTCTCTCCCGTCCCCTAAACATTAGTAATAAATACCTCCTTTTTACTGTCAAACTCAGAAAACCGTGCACACCTGAAAAATTTCAGGAATGTTGATTGTGTACTGGCCAATCACAATAAAGTTCAGGATACACAAGCAAACCTTAAAACCACTAACTAATTGCCGTTGCTTTTTGCAGTTTAGTTATCAATCAATCAATCAACCATTTATTTTAACACGTTACATCAAAGAGCTAAAAAACTCGTTCAAAAAGTAAGCCTTATTGGCTTATTTCTCGCAACACAATAACATTCCATAAATATTTCTGTGTTCACGGTTTTGTGAGATCTACAGACTTACAGCTGCTTACATACATTCATGTATGGAAAATTGACAAAAACTTGTTCTTTAATAATATTAAAGGCGTATTTTAATTTGAGATTTGTAACATAAATAATGTAGGTAATACTACGTACTCACGTGGGAATATTGAAACATAGTTGTTGTCATGGTTTTTCAAGTGACTTGGTGACGTTATTTGATGTGGAAATTGTCACGATTTCAGATGACCTCCATTATTGACCCGCCATTTTGAATTTTTATCCTCTTTTAAAAATCTTAAACTTTGCGAAGTATGACGGTACAGCATTATTTTGTTATCTTTACTGACCTCTTACAAAATGCCTTGAGATCCACCTTTCAGCAGCAGTTCTGTTGTATTCTTGTAATCTAATAAAAAAGAAATGCTCAGTTCCACCGTGTCACCTCTTGGCATTTAAGAGATTTAACAGATCTAAGAAAAAATCTATGGGGAAACTTCCTCGTCTCTAGCTTTTAAAGATCCCGTGTTAATTTTTCATGAAAACAAACACAGAGCAGTGTTTCGGGCTTATTCCGACAAGTGTCAAAAGCTAACTCTAGTCAATCGCTCGTGTGGCGTTTCTGCTTACCTCTTTTCAATCACGATAACACGCTTAGCCAGACTTTGCAGATTAGTGGCCCTTTGTTGTACGGACCTTCTTTCCCGTACGACTTTGTTTTCATCCAAGGCTGTTTGATTTGTATGGGACTTAAATGATCTTTCAACAACGATCTTCTCAATTATGTTTCCCAAATTATCAATGCGTTCGTCCAGCCTCGTAAACTTGTGGTACATATAAACGCACACAGAAACTTGAGATATAATGCATGCAGTCAAGCACATCGCTATGAATACATTCACAAAAGAACGAAAACTCTCATCAGGTTTGAAAGACCTTGAACACGTAGTCGGTTTTTCATTTGCCATTTTCAATTTCAGAAACTGATATCACAGCCTGGAGATATTTCGTGAATTATTGATCAACAGTGTGCGTAGCTGATTCAACACGCAAACTCTCAGATCCACACAATGCACGACCCCACCAGCAATGCTGATCTTCTTATCGTGCTAAAATAAAGTTCTTATTTTAATGTGATGCCAAAAGCAGACTTAAAAGTCATGATGTCACGATGAAATGACCCTGGGGAAGACTCTTATCGTAAAGGGAGTTGCTCGTCTGGTGTACTTCACAGATTTTGGTATCCTCTCGTATGATTAGGAAAAAACCTAAATATCTTTAACCTGATGTATATGCATCGATAAAGGATGGGTGTGAAAAGTCAGAAATATACCGTAGAACTGAACTACTGGTTAATTAATAGAGTTATGAGCAAAGATATAAAATAATGAAAATAAAATAATCAAAAAATGAAAAACTACAGCTCTTACATGTACTACTCTAAAAACCTCTTTTTTAAAGTCTCAGTTTATTGTATATCAGCAATCAACTTTCTCAATATTGTAATAGATTTGCTAAGAGCTAGGGGCCAATTAAATAAAACTTTTACAAGTGTAATTTACAAGTGAGTGTGGCCATTGTCTTGAGGTGATGTTACACGGGACCATTCGCGACGACCAGTTTTAGCGCAACACAGCGCTGCAATGTTGGAGCAATGTTGTGGCCATTCGAAACAGCACAATGTCGCAACAATGTTGCAACGCTGTGTTGCGCTAAAAGTCATCGTTGTGAATCGTCTCTCGTAACATCTTTAGAGTCTGAAAACAATAGCTACACTGTCTGGCTTGTAAATTACACTTGTAAAAGTTTTATGAAATTGACCCCAGCCCATGTGCCTATGGTGCTAAGGGCCTATTTTGTATCACACACAAGTGTACCGCTCATTTACCAACACTACTAGCTGAGCAGCAGATCGTTTTCTGGGAATTATGAGTCAGGTTACTAATATATAGATTTAGCCAAGGCTAAAAGCGAAGCTCACTTTAATAAATTAATACTTTAAATAAAACAATAAACATTAATCAGTTACATTTAAGGTAGATTCATGAGACTTTTGAGGGAAAGTGATTCCGTAGAGAAGGATAATTTGACAGTCCAAGAGAGAAACAAATTTTACATCCAGTTAATAGTCTTATATGTACACCGAAAAATAGCAATCTTCTTCGATCACAGTAGATTAGGCCAAGAAAACAAATTCTTCCCAAACAAAAGAAGTTAAACCCAGTCACCCACCTACACTGCCTTTATTTTATAAGGTTAATTCATAGTCTCTCCAACCACTCCGTTGGAGATCGAAGAGACTATATGGAGATAATTGGATATCCCCGAAACATAATTTTATGCAACACACGAGATAGCCTGCGAGCAAGCTCTCCTATTTGGGCGAGTGAGACTAGTCTCGCGAGAACGCTCGAGCGAGCGGCGAAGCCGCGAGGGCGCGTTCTCGCGAGGCTCGCTTCGCTTGCTCAAATAGGAGAGCTTGCTCGCAGGCTACACACGAGAGTCCTCGGTTGCAGGGGCCCGGTTGCAGCCAATTTACACTTTGCATTCCTCTGTCTAAAAGGAAGGGCAAAATAAAATAAAAAATCAGGCCGGTCTTTTTCTGTTTCGAAAAAGATTTGTGTTCTACAGGTTTACCTTACAAGTAAATCTTGGCGACAAATCTGGTGGTGTGTAAACCAGTATTTTAAATATACCTTTTATCATACGATCTGAGGAAAACAGTGCTATGCTTGTGTGCCCGTTTTTGGTTATACAGACCTCGAACAGAATTTGTTTTTCCTTGCCCTATTTCAACCTATAATTCTGTAGTTTTTCACAATTTTGCAAGACAAATATGCGCTCATTCAATATCTAGGACGATCGAAGCGCACGCTTCCTTTGAGCAAAATAATATAGAACTGACCACATTATAAAACGTTTTCATTAAGAGAATTTTCCATAATACCGGGACTTTTTAGTCGGAAAAATCTGCTCCTATGTGATATGTAGGGTAATAATAATGGTCTTTTAGTGAGAACGATCAAAAAATTCCCCAAATCACCACGGCCGGCCGGACGGGTTCTCACTTTTGTCAAGCACCAAATTTGCAGTCCGAGCTGTCGGAGCCGTTTAAATGAACATTTAAGCTTCAACATGATAGAGAACTTAATATTGTGTTTAGGTTTTATTTCCCTTTCTTTATGGTTTTGTCATGTGATATTTACGCGCAGCATTTTGAGTACTCCTGCGTGCGATGTTTTGTTATAAGTTCGACTGAAAACAACCTGCGCAGCGATTAAATTGAGAAAGAGACTACTAACAATCAGTAGAATAAATATAACTTGGTGAAACGTGTACAAAGACAACAATTTTCATTCACGACGTTAAGTTTTGAGAGTAAGTGTCTCTGAAAATCATGAGCATAAGCTCATAAACTTCAGAAACCTTGCGGATTTAAGCCGGCTTCCCGGTGTTTACTTTAAGATGAAACGCGAGGCAAGAATATCGCTCAGAGCTTTCTTTTTACAGCCAAAAGCATAACTAAATACATTGTATTCTTCGGAACGTTTTTCTTTGAATTTGTGGTCAGAAAATGTTAAGACTTTTTAAAAATCTGTAAGGTGATGTCAAACCTGATGCTATTGTCATCATTGTCTTTCGCATAAACTAGGCGCAGAAACTACGCTCGGCTTTAGGAAACCAGAAAAAAAAAAAAAACAAACATCAAATACAATAATAACTCAGGCTTACCAGTCGAGATGCAGCTCCTGAAAGCCATCAGAATCGCTTGAGACTTTTTTAAACCCTCTTTATAATACGCATCAAGCAAGGGGAAGTGAGTAAAAGCGATCCATCCGAAATCGGATTTCCGATGACTTTGACAAGCGGCGCATTTCTTAACCAAAAAACCAATAAACAAACCAGCCATTAATAACTTAAGAATCTTGCTAGCATCTGTATTTCATTTTGTCCATCCAGTAGAAAAAGACAGTTAAAAGCTTCACAACGTTTATACACAAAACTCCGTCAGTTTCAGCTATCAGTGAACAAGTTTCAAGATGATGCATAAATTTTCCTCATGAACTCACCTGTCAACTTTTGACCAATCAGAACATAAAAACTGGACGTAGAGCGTGACCAACGCGTGACCATGGTGAGAAAGGTCAAAAGCAACTTCCCTGCCTGTAAAAGCTGGCTGAATTCTCGCGTCCGAGGTTAGTTTGAAATTAAAAGTTTAATAGTGCGACTCATAAACACAACTTCCTATTTCCTACGCGTTAAAAAAAAATTGAACTTCAGCCTGCAATCATTTGAAAAGTAGTAACTTGTCAGCGGATAACTTCGAAAAACCTCGAACTAAGTGGGCCGATACCTGAGCCCGCGATACGGTCAGGTGATGATGGTCAGCAGGTGCTGTAGTTTGACAGCTGTCAATTGAACTTCATTAGAATGGCAAATTTTCAAATAAACGTACTGTTGACTGTGAGTGTTAGTCTGCAGGATTGTAATGGAGGATTAATGGCGCGAAATGTCGTGTATTTTAGCCCACGTTGTTGGTGATCTGATAGTGGTCTTCACATGTCCCATTTTGACAGCTGTGAATTGACCTTAATTTGGCTAGTGCGTATAACTTTAAACTGACAGCCCTGTCCGGTGAAAGCGAAGTTTCATTTCATTTTCATTTTTATGTTGGTGTGACATATTACATCAGCTTATATTTAGGAAAAACGACTGATCTTTCATCTGAGCCCGCTAGATGGTCATGTGACTACTGTCAGCGGATGTCTGATTTTGACAGCTGTCAATTCATCCTCATACGGATGGCTTTCAAAGCGCTAATTTCTCCAAGATGTGACATTTGACATCGGCTTACATGAAGTGTGTGTACGGGTGGGCGTACGCTACGTCATAACCAAATTTTCTCGGATTGATAGTTTACCAAATTTTCTTACCCATGGTGCTCCGCAAGCGCGCGCTTCGCGCGCGAGAGCTCCGCTATCAATGCCAATTTTTCGGCCGAGCTACATTGCTAGCAGAGGTTACTATCAGGGGAAGTTTTTTCCATTCATGGCGAAATCGTTCGCTAAGATTACTGAGTTAAACATTAGCTAACCACGCGAATGTCAGCGACGCAAACGACTTCCTTATGTCCTTAATGCTAAAAATCGTGTCGGAAAGAAACCTCTTCAAGTAGGACTGGTAAAAAATGGCCTCGTTGTGGGCTTGTACTTAATATTTTGATGCTATCGCAGTACTCTCAAAAAAGCAAGAATATGTTTTATTAAAAACTTGAGGGTTGTTTATGTAAAAATTCCTGTATAGCTCATTTATAGGGAGTTTAAGATAATGAGAATGGCCCGTTCTAAAAGCAAGGAAAAGGTTTCTTATAATAAAATGGATTTTGTGTGTTTTCCCCCGCAGGGATTTCGCCCAGAAGGCGAAATCCCCAGGAGGCACTTACTAGTAACTTGCGCGTATATTAAGGAAAATACTTACAGATGGAATATACAGTCAGTATGGCAGAAAAATCTCGATTTACTTGAACAGGGGCCTCGAGGAATCGGCAGGTAATGTTGACGTTTCTATTGCTCGCGCCCGCAGGTACGAGATGGTTATAATTAGGATGACGCAAAGACAAAAAATCTCGAAGGGACCGCTTAGGTAGATTTTGTGACATTTATTGTACACAGGATTGTGCGTATAACTGTGTATAAATCAGGGGCCCCCAACGAGAATATAGTTTAAATCCACTTTAACAAAGTATTGTTAAAAATCCGTTTAAAATGGGCAATTATACCATTTTTTAGATGTTCGAAAATCCTAGGAGATGCAGGCAAGCAAGAAATTTTACAACAAATGTTCCGAAAATTCTAGATCTCAAATCGTCTTCCGAACAGATATTTTCCAAAAATTGACGTTGGGTGCTCCTGATATATAAAAACTTGGAGAGTTTGCCAGACTCGAGTTCACAAATCTTTGATTGGTACTCCTTCTCTCTCTTTGACCTGAATAAGACTCAGCCCCAAGCAAGCAAGACGAGTGAGGCAACGGCTAGCTTATCGCTAGCAGAACGATGGACGATTACAGAAATTCACCGACAATCAAATTCTGTGCTGACTTATTCCCTGCTCACAGATGTCCTTCCGCTATAAAGTTTAAACAAGAGAGGATAAAGGGGACAGGGAAGGCATCCCCCATACACACCCTATTCCATAGGTAATTCGTCTCGAGTTATTTTTAAGACCACAGATCCCGATCAAATATCGCGAATGTGTTCCGCGTGGATGACCCACGCTCAGAGCCACGCGTCCTTCACGAATTGACGCTGAAAAAAAATGGCTGAAGACGCGGAGAGAGATATATTGCTTTTCGTTTTGTCGACAAAAACGAATAAAGAGAGATTTCTAATAAAGCTGTGTCAGCGAAACGGAAATTAAAAAAGAATCGCCCTACCTCTCTTGTATAGAGCTAACAATCCTTAACACACCGAATATTCTCTCAGGATTATTTATAATTTACAGTTTGAAGAGAGCAATTTCTGGTTTGATATTTATTCTCTTATTAGTCTATTATTATTTAACAAAATAACACTTGGCGTCCTACTTGCTTTATTGTACAAACGACCAGTTTCAGTAGACCGGCGAAATTTCTCATTTTATTAAAGCACTGAGGTTACGACAACTTCGAGTTAAACTGATTTCACGAGTTGTCAAAGAGTCCAGCGATTCCCTTTTTCTAGCTGAGCGCCGACTCATTTCGCTTCAATATTCAGGAATGCTCTTGATCTCTTTACGCTTTCATTGCCTTTCGCCCGACATGTTTTGAACGGCGTTTAGTCATGCGAAACCTCCACGAAACATCTACGCAGCGCGCGAGGTAGCTTTATCCCGATTCTAAAAATAACTCGAGACAAATTACCTATGGAATAGGGTGTGTATTGGGGGATGCCTTCAATTCTCTCTCCCCTTTATCCTCCTGGTTTAAAATAAGACTAGTATGCGCGCGGGTGAATAGCGTAGCGCGCGAATGACGTGAAAGTGACTAATTTACTTTTACTTTCCGGAAAATAAAATGAACTGTATGTAAAAAGTGAAGAGAAGTAGGGAAAATTCAACTTCTAATTAAATCTTTTCTTCTGGTTTAGAATAAGCTTTTCTCGAAACTGAGAATGTTTTGATCAAAGCTGTGTGAATCGAACTGAAACTGTGCATGGAGCCGTGCGTTTCCTGTTTTTATCTGACCTATTGTATGGAATATATGTGAAAATCTTCATTATGAATCGGTAATTGTGTAAGAAGGTAACTTTGGCTATAGGTGCCCTTAGACGTATCAGGCCCCTTATCTCCCAATATACCGCGGTACTAGTCTATAACTCCTTAATTCAACCTCACTTTGATTACTGTAGCCTCGTTTGGGATGGCTTAAGTGATCAACTGAGTGACAAATTACAAAAGTTACAGAACCGCGCAGCTAGAGTAATTTTAAAGGCCAACTATGGGAATAGCTCGAGCCTGCTTCTTGATATACTCAAATGGGACAAATAAGTTATAAGGAGAAAGAAGCATAAAGCAATAATGATGTTTAAATCTCTAAATGAACAAGCTCCAGTGTACTTGCAGAACCTATTTCACGAACGAAGCACAGATTATGATTTGCGCAATTCCTTTCATAAATTCACGTTGCCCAGGCCGCGTACTAACTACTTGAAACGAAGTTTCAGTAACTGCGGTGCTTTGTTGTGGAACTCGTTACCCGAAAATGTGAGAGAAATTAAATCAGTCAGGAAATTTAAAGAGCAAATCAAACATGTATTTGAGTCGTCGGACTCTCACTCGGCAGTCTTGTAAAATAGTATGTCGATAGTTTTTAGTCTAATTAATTGTAATTAGATTTTTACTCTATTATTACTGAAGATTTTACCGAGTTTTAAATAAAGAATCTACCTACCTACCTATATTTCAAAGAGCTACACAACGACCAAGAATGCTATTGACCGACAATATACAGAACGGGGGCAGCTGTAGTGTCAACTATTACTAGTTTAAACTTTTTGGCCATTATTCCGATGAACTCAAGCCATTGTCATGTAGCCGTACTTTCTAGGAATGTAATTATTAAGACCGTTTCCAAGCTCAGCATTACAGAGAATAAAGGACTGGACTTTCTTACGTCCACGTTCTCTAATAAACGTTGCGTCGTCCAGTGAAGGTTAAGAAAACTACGATGCAGATGCGAAATCAATGTTACGCCTAGGCTCATGGTTACGTGCTTATTTTTATCTTAAAAGACTTATTAAGTTTTTTTTTCTATGCTGTCCCCGCTGTACTAATCTTAGCTTCAATTTCCTATTCTCACTTGGTGCAAACAGCGCAGGTCAGCTCTCGGTGATTAACATTTATTTAGGGAGGGCAAGGGAGAGCTCCACATTGCCCTTCAACGTGGTACAGTAAGGCACCATTCTTGTTATCCTGGCTCCTTGGAACATACTCAGGGTCTTTGTCAACACAGACGAAGTCTTTTTGGTTGTTGTGACCGTAATATGCAGTCATCAGATACCCATGATACTCTCCGTTCCAGCCAGACGGACAGTCATTTCGTGCGGGCATCATCAGAATTGAACCACGTGATTTGACATAGCAGACAACACAAGGCGCCTCATGGTAATGGAGATTTCGTCTGAAAGGATACCCAATGTAGGAACCGACCACATATTCAGTACCGAACACATATCCTGTGTCTTGATTACCGTCGCTGTATCTGTCGTACTTTGGATTGTGTGGAAGGCAAAGATAGTTCCGGCTCCACCTCCAGTGTGAGTGTAATATTCGCCACCCATTATACCTTAAGAAAGTAGTTATTTTAAAATTTTGTTCTTTCAAATGATTTCTTTCACACCTACAGTAAATCAAATTATGTAGTCGCGAATATATATCTTCAGCTCGGCGATAATTAAGTTCGATGATGAGTTAACCATTCGTACTGCACACAATGTTAATTGTTGGGAATACTGCATCCACCTTCACTAACTGCCGCCCCTCCAATCATTCAATTTTGAATGCCTACACAATGAGAGTGAAATGCTTGCCCCACCATGCAGCTATCACCTTCGAAATATTGCGAGAGGCCTTAAAATAACAGCCAGGGTGAAAACGCTCTCAAAAACGAATTTTTTTAGCACTTTTGTTCTACTATTGATGTGGTAAGTTTTACTTTGTAATAATGCTGATAATATAAAGGTAAAAAAGCTTACAGCTCTCTGTTTATGGTGAAAATTTACTTAGAGGTAACTTTTATTGCAGTTGTATTTTGTAAGTAATGTTATTCTTACCTCTTTATATAGTTTTATCCATTTGTAATTATTTTTGCACGACCCCACAAGCTTTGAACTTTAAATCATACTTATCGTGTTAAAATAAAGGATATGTATGTATGTATGTATGTATGTAAGTAACATTGTTTTACTTACCTGATAATTTGTTTCTATATACCCATATTAATTTGACACTATTGACGACTTAATGTTATAGCAACTCTTTTATTTTGCTTTGCCCTGAATTACCACCAAAGCTTTAGGCCGTATCTGATGAATCACAATTTTTGGAAATTCTTGCAAAAATTACATTTATTCTATGACTCGCTGCATCTATGGAATACCATGCCAGTGGCGGATCGAGACCTTCCGTCCGCGTGTTTCATTTTGCCTAGAAAAAGTACCGTGTTAGTTCTACTCAGAAAGAGTCCTGATGTTTTTATCTTATTGAAGTCTCCAAAAAATTTTAGTATTTTACTTAGCTAAGAATTTGTTTCTACCTACATTAGTTAACTATTGATGTGCAAGGATACTTTATGCTATAGTACAATTGCTTTGTTCTTAATAACCAAAAGAACCTTCATGTATTCCGAACGGCCGTATTAATTTTTTAATATAACCTGTAATGACCTTAAACTGCACTGGCATCAGACCACTGAAGTACCAAAGGATATACTCATTCAATTGATCTACGTTGGACATATTATTAAGAACACCGTTTTTTAAAAGAGCTGATAGATTTTCAAGTCCATTTCTAAACAGAAAGGCATTGCGTTGTCTGCCTTTTTCATTACAATATATCTTTTATGATAAAAACATATACTCTTGAGCGTTTGGGCTACAGTGTTTTCGCCTACATAAGGTTTGTGCAACGTTCACTCTCACTTTGTGCACACCGCGCATGTCAGCTCTCGATGTTGAACATATGGAAGACATGGAAGAGAACCACATTGCCCTTCAACGTGGTATAGTAAGGCACCATCCATATCCTTATGGGACCCTGGAACATACTCTGGGTCTTTATCAACACAGACGAAGTCTTTTTGGTTGTTGTGACCGTGATGAGAAGTCATCAGATACCCTTGATACTCCTTGGTCCACCCAGATGGACAATCATCCCTTGCAGGCATCATCAGCATTGAGCCACGTGACTTCACATAACAGACAGCGCACGGCGCCTCATGATCATGGAGATTTCGTCTGAGAGGATACCCACTGTAGGAATTAACTTCATACTCGGCGCCGTAAACGTATCCTACCGCTTGAGAGCCGTCTCTGTATCTGTCGTACTTTGGAGTGTTTGGAAGGCAAAGATAGTTCACTCCACCTCCAGTGTGACTGTAACGTTCGCCACCCATTATACCTAAAGACAAGAAAGCTCTTTGAAACTTTTTGTCATTTAAATTTCATTCACACTTAAAATGGATTAAATTAAGTAACGAGTTTACAGTAAAAACTTACGAGTGAGAACCTGCATTTTCCTAAGCAAGCTCAAACAGGTTGTTAAATAAAAGGTAATTAGCTCAAATTTAAGCTATTTAGTTACTTAAATAGACTCTTATTTTTAAAAGAAAAAATACATTGTAGCTAAGAGTAGTGGTCTTCAGCTTATTCAATATTCTAAGTTGGAGTGATAAAGGCACCTATGTCATTCTTGAATGTTGACTTATTTACCTACGTGTACATATTTTTTTCAAATAGATTTTAGAAAATAAAAACCAGTGTTCCAAATTTTAGGCTAAACAACTTCTTGAATGGAGGAGGCTTTTAACTGGCAAGTTTTAGCCTTATATCGGGTTCAGTACAGCCCATTCTATCATTTGTGACGTCATAAGTTACGTTGTTTTACAACAACTTTACCTTCTAAAGGCATAGTTAGCATAGTCCCCCCCTACTAACTATGCTAAAGGTTAACTTCCAATATCGCGTAATTTTGACGTGCCTACTTGCGTAAAATTTACGTTCGCAAATAAAATAGAGGTAATGCATGAAAGGTCGCTTGTAAGTGTAAAAGTTGAACCTCGCTCAACTTCTCGTTTAAGCTCAGCCCTTTTTATCTTGCCTCTATTTTATTTACGTGATTACAATTTACGTGCGTTAACGTGTGTAGCTAAAAACACGTCTGTGGAAATCAACCTTAAGTTACACCGAAGTCTACCGTAGGAGAGTTTTTGAGAAACGCCCAAAACTCTGCGATTTACTCTAACAGGCCTGAGATGCATGAAAAAGGAAAACATGCCCGAAAAATGCGACTAAAACTTCCATTCAGGAACTCTTATATTAAACTTGGAAATATTACTACAAGCCTTAAAATACCAAAAAAGGTAAAAACGCCCACAAAAAGGAGTTTTTATGTTGTTCCACACAAAGCGATTGCAGCTGTAAGGCCCTCGTGTAGTAAAAAAATAAAAATTATGGAAATTACGGCAGCGTGGTTCAAATGTCTAGGAGTCGAAAGATGTTTCAGGTTCGACTCTCGGCCAAGCTGATTCTTGTTTATTTGTGATACATTTTTTTCCCATTAAGTCTTTGAATCATATTTCTTCCCTTTGGCTTCTTTCCCTCTATTCTTACTGCAACCCCTCTACGGCCTTCTCGCGAGGTTTTCGCGATAAACGTATTGCTCGTTTTAGTTATAAGACTTTCTAACAATGCTTAACCCTCGGACGTACAAGAGGTGCGGTACGCGGTTTCTGAGTTTTTTTCCTAGAGCATAAAACATCAGCAGCTGACGTTTTCAGTAGCTGTTTGTTCATCGCTTGCGCACTTTTTGAGACAAGTTCAGTGATGGTCAGTTGCTATGCTTACAAGAAATGACGTCATAAGTAGCAGGTGGTCGAGCCATTCTTGGATTAAAATACATGCTTTTTTCTACTTCTTTCAACAATAAAAAAAATCATGCAAAGTGCTTATTTCTGTAAAGCACAAAAAAAATGCTATTTCTCGCGGTTTTAACCTGATTTCTAACTCTTGGTAAAATCCAAGATGGCGGCCTAGATAGCGACTATTGTTGGTGACGTCACAGGCCTCAAGCAGCGCCACCACCAATAAAATATACCTCGTCTTGTTAAGAAAATCAAAGGCTTTCCACCAAGGGTAAAATCGTTTCGAAATACTGCAACATATCAAAAACTCTAGGGAGGGGTTCCATCCACCCCCCTCCCCCTCCCCCTTGTACCACGGTAGGGGTATGAATTTGCGTGTACGTCCGAGGGTTAAGAAAATCGCTAATGAACTGTTTAACGAGAGGATGTCTTCAATGTCTTCTTACCACTGTACACTACCGTTGCATCTCCTGAGCAGTTGGTCCTTCCCCAACGAACGTATTTCACCCCAGACAGTCCCTTTCCCTTCTCTCCTTGTGATCCAGGGGGACCCTGAGGGCCAACACTTCCAGTTTTTCCAACATCTCCTATTTAAAAAGAACTATAGCGAGTGAGCATTAGTGCTCGAGAGTGAAGCAAAGAAGAGGAGTACAACCCTTGATTATAAATCTTTATGTTATTAATTATTTTGAATTGCAGTTGTTATTTGCCATCTTTGTCTCTGTTACCAAAGACGCCGTATTTAAAACTATTCAGACTTTTTGCTTTTACTTAATTTCTGCGACCATAAGAGAGGGGATTCGGAGGCACCCCTCTGTAAATCAAAAGCCACTTATGATACGGCCACCAAAATTGCACAGAATAATGTACTAGGCATAACATGATTGACACAATGAGGTGATTTAACGTGCTTTTGACTAAAATGTTCCCAGATGATTTAGGGGAAACGTCACTAAGTTTAGTGGTCAAAGCTTAAACGGTCTTGAACTTTTTAGGAAGGAGGGAAACCCCTTGTCTGAATATATAATTACCCTCACCACAACTACAAGGAGGAGAAGAAGATGAAACAAGAGTACGAAGATGAACCCTTAATTCGTAACCTGGGGCCAGGCTTCTTGACGAGAACCGATTTTGGCGCCCGTTATTTTTTCATTCGCTTTTTTTTCCCACTAAGGAGCCTTCTAACATCCTACCTTTAAAGTCGGTCGAGAACCGAAGAAATAAAAAACAACATCACATACTGGGCATGTATTACGCAAAAATTTGTCGATCGTACTTACCAGAGACAGTGGAATATCGATATAAAGAACCTCTGACAGTATAAGTTAAACGGACTCCTTCGTTGTATCGAGGTTCCACTGTACACAATGAAGCACTCAGAAACCTTCATCCTCGTTAGTTTTTGAAAACATACCTGCTGTTACTTTGAGGCCTAAGGATATTTTTGGGTAATTTATATATCGTTTCGTTAGTGAATCTGTTATCTCCTTTCCCGCTACAAATAAATAAACTCATTTTGGTGGAGAACCTCAGTGCTCCGCCGAAAGATATGTTAAACAACGAGGAAGTGACAAAATATTTGAAGGCCGCTTTTGATATTAATTAATTTCGCTTGCTTGTGCTCAACGTCCGGGTCATACCTCGTGGTCCCGCAAGTCCTCGAGGTCCCGCGGGACCCTCTCTTCCATCTCTGCCTTCTCTTCCATCTTTACCGTCTTTACCATCCTTCCCGTCTCTGCCTGAAAGGAGATAATAGAGTAAGTTTGAGGGAATATTTTAAATATTTTTGTATTTTTGAATATTTTAAGAGAATAGTTTAAAAACTTTTCCTGCAACATGTTAGCAGTGTCATTCTCTTACAAACCACTGCATGCCTATTCGTTCAGTAAGAGTTTGATACTGAAATCAGCCAAAAGTTACCGTGACATTTCTAACTAATATATTTCATTAGTGGATAGATAAACTGAGCTGAATTGAATTTGTCGTTAAAGCACAGGTTTTTCACGTAACTAGACTGTTAGAGTGTTTTTCCCTAGCTGGAACCTGCATGTGCTGCATATAACACTAAGCACATTCCTATACGAAAACACATTCCCATACGAACACAACAGTGCTAACGTTAGCTAAGACCCCGTTTACGTGGGCCCGAACAAATTTTTGAACGGAATAATTTTTTACCTGTGTGCAACCCGTTCACACGGAACCTTACACGAGACAGCGTAAAAATCCTTCTTTAGGGAGAAAGGCAAGACAGAGGCGTAAGGAGAGAAAAAATATCTCTCTCTCACTTGGGGAGATATTCACGAGGGCTCGTGTGTTCACTCTACTTTTCCTTAAGAGAAATGAGTGACTACGCGTAGAACAAATTCGAGGCCTTATCCTGCGTAAATTTGAACCGAAATATACACATTAGGGTTCTATAATCTGGCTTTTGACTGCATTGATAAGGACTTCTTAGGAGAAAATAAAGGACCTCTTAAAGCGGGACAAATAAAAGCAGCCATTTAGCCCATTTAGCTCAGTACAAGATCGATGGCTGCGTTGAAGTTGCATTGGCAAAGGCATGTTTACAATTGACTAACTATGAGATCTGCAAGATGAACTTACCAGGAGGACCTGGTCTTCCATCTCTTCCATCTCGACCTGAAAATTTGAGTGAAACTATAAGTATTGTAACATATGTCTCCCACGCCGTGATATCCTTAGGGTTTCGTCACGCGTTCTCTTCTAAAACCAGACGAGCCCCTGTGGAACGTCCACGTCGGAGGCTAAGTCATGTACAGTGATGGACTTACAAAAGTACAATTCTGAATGCAGGGCTGGCACTACCGTAAAGGGCTGATTTATTATGGGCCAATATTTCGGCTAACAAAATTAGCCTTCCTAAGGCCAGAACTATACCGAGAAAAAATATCTTTTAACGGCTCCTAAAATTTGAATTTAGAATTCACATAAGTGGTTAATAATTAACTATAATTATTAATACTAGATAGAATAATATACAGGTAAATGATTATACAATAAACAGTCCAATGTTCATTCCTTCGGTTCAGACCGTCTGGTGACAGGGTTTTGCCTCTGTCTATGAGGTATGCTTCTCTTGCCTTACGGCGTGCCAAGCTGAGGGTGGGTTGTAATTCCTGCAGAATAAGTTCTGTGTCTGCGATCGAGTGGCCAGGTTGATTAAAATAGGAAGGGACTGCTGCTGTGGCGTTTGCGTGGAGTGAATTGTTTGTTGCCTGTCTTTGTTTTTTAAAGCGTTCACGAAGTGTGCGTTTAGTTTCACCTATATATTGTTTTTTTTTTTTTTACATCTTCTCTTGTTGAGTCACAAGTAATGTGATGTTTAATTTGTCTTGTTTCTCCTGTGTTGGTGAAAGTGAATGATGTTTTCCCATGGCTAATGTATGGGCAGGTGGGGCAGCCATGTCTGGAGTTGCAACGGAATGTGCCGGCAGGGGGCTTGCCGGATGTGCTGTAGCTGTTTGCGAGTTTCGCACGAACGAGGAGGTCACGACGGTTCTAAAAGGTGAACGGCAGAAAGCGACGACAGGTACTTCTTTAAAGATGTTCCTGAAGCGTTCGGTGGATTGCAGAATCGGTCGCGGTCGGGAAAACATCATACACTTGCCCCTGAGGAAGGCTAATTTTGTTAGCCGAAACATTGGCCAATAACAAATCAGCCACGGATACTTGGGCATATAATATTGCAAATAATTGACCGTGGCAAAATCAGTCCTGTCGTATTCCTAGATTTAAAAAAATGCTTTCGACAAGGTGGACCACGAGACTAAACCTCTTTAGTATCAATGGTATTGCGCATCATTGGTTGCAGTCATATTTAGAGGACCGCACAATTGGCTAATAGCAAACAAACTCACTCTAAATATGACTAAAACCGAGTTCATGTTAATTGGATCTCGGCAGAAGCTAAGTACTGTAACAGTTTCCCCAACACTTACAATTACGGATTTTCGAGTTACCCAAGTTGCTACTGCTAAATCTCTTGGAGTGACCATCGATGATAATCTTGATCGGGGTAGCCATATATGGAGAAGATAATAAAGAAAGTATCTTTTGGCATCGGTGCCATAAAGCTAGTAAGGCAGCTTGTCCCCCATAACGACCTTAGAACTAATTTACCAAACTCTTATTCACCCTCACCTCAATTATTGCAATACTGTTTGGAGAAACTGTGGGATAACCTTAAGGAACAAACTTCAAAAACTACAAAATAGAGCAGCCCGTGTTTTGACATTTTCAGACTACGATGAAGACGTTGGTTGACTGTTTGAACTCCTAGGATGGAAAAATCTAGTGCGCCAGCATGAAATTGAAAAGGCCACGATGGTTTATAAGTATTTACACGGGTTGGCTCCAGAATATTTATGTTCTAGGTTTGCAATACGAGAAACGGCATAGAACCTTTACCACGGACAAATTATTACAAAAATAGCTTTAACTATAGTGGCGCCATCCTATGGAATAAACTCCCGTGTAATGTGAGGCAAGCAGAGTCCCTTTTGAAATTCAAATGTCTTCTATCTATCTATCTATCTATCTATCTATCTATCTATCTATCTATCCATCCATCCATCCATCCATCCATCCATCCATCCATCCATCCATCCATCCATCCATCCATCCATCCATCCATCCATCCATCCATCCATCCATCCATCCATCCATCCATCCATCCATCCATCCATCCATCCATCCATCCATCCATCCATCCATCCATCCATCCATCCATCTATCGATCGATCGATCGATCGATCTATCTATCTATCTATCTATCTATCCATCTATCTATCTATCTATCTATCTATCTATCTATCTATCTATCTATCTATCTATCTATCTATCTATCTATCTATCTATCTAACTATCTATCTATCTATCTATCTATCTATCTGTCTGTCTGTCTGTCTGTCTGTCTGTCTATCTATCTATCTAAATAAATTAATTAAAAATATATTCTATTTATTTATCTATCTATCTATCTATCTATCTATCTATCTATTTATCTATCTATCTATCTATCTATCTATCTGTCTGTCTGTCTGTCTGTCTATCTATCTATCTATCTATCTATCTAGCACTCTGCCGTAGTGCCAGCCCTGCATTCAGACTTATTCTATTTTACACTTTAAGTGACGTCTGACTACAGCATCGATCCGGCAAGAGGAACCAGTCAGTTATATTGACGCGTTGCGTGGACCTCTGCATTAAAACATTTTTTTCCTTTTTTACAATAGTACCATTTCTGTCAGTTTAGAGTGAAAGGCATGCAAATGAGTTTTCAAAGAAAACAGAAATGTAATAGCAGGGACATGAAATTGATGCAGCCTCTCAATTCCAGTCGTCAGAGGACTAGGAAACGGCCAAGTCTCTCCCGTCCCCCAAAACAATTCATCAACATTGACATTTCATAGCTCGACTGACTTGGTGACGTCATTTGATGTGGAAATTGTCACGATTTTACCTGACCTCCACCCTTAATTTGAGCCGGCATTTTGAATTTTTATCCTCTTTTAAAAATCCCAAATTTTGCTAAGTATTTTACTGACCTCTTACAAAATACCTTGACATCCACCTTTCAGCGGAAGTTCTGTTGTATTCTTGTAATCTAATGAAGAAGAAATGCTCTTTTAAGAAAAAATAAATTAATTAAAAATATATTCAATGGGGAAACTTCTTCGTCTTTGGTTTTTAAGGATACCGTTCTAAGTTTTCATGAAAACAAACTCAGAGAATTGTTTTAGGCTTATTCCGACGGTCTAAAGTTCATCAATCGCCCTGGTGATGTTTCTGCTCACCTCCTTTCAATCACAATCACACGCTTAGCCAGACTTTGCAGATTAGTGTCCCTTTGTTGTACGGACCTTCTTTGCCGCACTACATTGTTTTCATCCAAGGCTGTTTGATTTGTATGGGACTTGGATGATCTTTCAACAACGATCTTCTCCACTATGTTTCCCAAGTTATCAATGCGTTCCTCCATCCTTGTAAACTTGTGGTATATATAGAGTTGAGATATAATGCATGCGATGAAGCACATCGCCATGAATACATTCACAAAAGAACGAAAACTCTCATCAGGCTTGAAAGACCTCGAACAAGTGGTCGATGTTTCATTTGCCATATTCAGTTTCCAATCAGAAACTTATATCACAGCCTGGAGATATTTCGTGAATTGTCGATCAGCAGTCTGAGTAGCTGATTTAACACGTAACTCTCAGTTCAGATCCGCACCATGTGATGCCAAAACTGGACTGAAATAAATATATAATATGGTCATGATGTCACGATGAAATGATCCCAGGAAAGACTCTCATCGAAAAGGGGCGGAGTTGCTCGTCTCGTCAAAAAATGAACAAATACAGCTCTTTATATTACAAGTATTCTAAAAACCTCTTTTTTAAGTTTCAGCTTACTATATATAGTGAGTCAACCCCGTCAATAATGTAATAGATTTGCTAAGAGCTAGGGGTCAATTTAATAAAACTGTCACAAAAGTGTAATTTACAAATGTAAATGTAAATGTGGACGTTTCGCAAACGACGATTTTTAACGCAACACAGCGTTGCAGTGTTGGAACAATGGTGTGACCACTCGAAACAATGTCGCAACAATGTTAAAACGCTGTGTTGCGCTAAGATTCGTCGTTGCAAATCGTCCCGTGTAACATCACCTTAAGAAAATGACTACACTTGTAAAGTTTTATTTAATTGACCCCAGCCCGAAGATATTAGCACTTCAATGCTACACTGTAAATTCGAGGGTAAATAAAGTTTATTGATTGATTGATTGATTGATTGAGCCCATGTGCTGTTAAGAGCCTATTTTATACGTGCTAGTGTCCTACAATTTTCACAATAGGTTGAGTTTAATCGTCCGGATGAGCGTAGTCCTGAATAGGACTGTTGTTGTTGACAGTGACTGACGTTTCGACATCCTGTGCGGTAGTCATCTTCAGAGTCAAAGTGAGTTGTATCACGTCAGTTGATGGTATACTCTGGTTATTGATCTGATTGGTCAATTACGTCGCGATGTTATTGGTCGTCTGTCATTTAAGCCGTGATGTTATTGGCTATGAATAAATTGACTGGGACTCTGCGACATGTATAATGTATTCTACAGACTACTATCAACGTCTTACTTTAGAAAGCTGGTTTACTAACTTAGAACAAACGCCCCTGAATCGTAGCCAGAAGTTACCAGCGCCGTAAAAACACTAAGTACGAGAGAACGACTGGAGAACTGACAATTTGACTAACAATAGACGACTGTTTAACTGTGACAATAGACGGATCGAAACGCACCAATTACTGATTACGAGTCTTCGTAGCCAATAACATCACGGCTTAACTGACAGACAACCAATAACATCGCGACGTAATTGACCAATCAGATCATTAACCAGAGTATAATACCATCAACTGACGTGATACAACTCACTTTGACTCTGAAGATGACTACCGCACACGTTGTCGAAACGTCAACAGCAACAGTCCTATTCACGACTACGTTCACCCGGACGATCAAACTTACTGCCTTACTGTGGTACAGTAAGGCACCATTCTTGTTATCCTGGCTCCCAGGAACAAGCTCAGGGTCTTTGTCAACATAGACGAAGTCTTTTTGGTTTTTGTGACCGTGATATGAAGTCATTAGATACCCATGATACTCCTCGGTCCATCCAGATGGACAGTCATTTCGTGCGGGCATCATCAGCATTGAACCACGTGATTTGACATAGCAGACAACACAAGGCGCCTCATGATCATGGAGATTTCGTCTGAAAGGATACCCACTGTAGGAACTAACTTCAAACTCGGTGCCGTAAATATATCCTTGGTCTTGATTACCGTCGCTGTATCTGTCGTACTTTGGATTGTGTGGAAGGCAAAGATAGTTCACTCCACCTCCAGTGTGAGTGTAACGTTCGCCACCCATTATACCTTAAGGAAAGAGAAGTTATTTTAAACTTTTTGTTCTTTAAAATGATTTCTTTCACACCTACAGTAAATCAAATTATGTAACCGCGAATATATATCTTCAGCTCGGCGATAATTAGGTTCGATTACGAGTTAACCATTCGTAGCTACACAATGTTAATTGTTGGGAATACTGCTCCCCCCCTCACTAACTGCCGCCCCTTCTATCATTCAACTTTGACGTTTAAGGAAGAAATGTAAAAGAAAATCATGCCTACACAGTGAGAATGAAATGCTTCCCCCACCATGCAGCTACCACGTTCGAAATATTGCTAGAGGCCTTAAAATAGCAGCCAGGGTGAAAACGCCCTCAAAAACGAATTTGTTTAGCGCTTTTGTTCTACTATTGATGTGCTGTGTTTTACTTTGTAATAATGCTGATAATATAAAGGTAAAAAGCTTACAGCTCTCTGTTTATGGTGAAAATTTACTTAGAGGTAACTTTTATTGTAGTTGTATTTTGTAAGTAATGTTATTCTTTTTTTTTACATAGTTTTATCCATTTGTAATTATTTTTACACGACCCCACAAGCTTTGAGCTTTAAATCACACTTATCGTGTTTAAATAAAGGATATGTATATATGTATGTATGTATGTATGTATGTAAGTGCTGCTAGATTCTCCATGACAAGAAACAAATAGCGCCGCAAATAGAATTTTACAGGGTCAAAAAACCCAACTGGCAGGAGGCAAAAAGATGGCTATTTTCAAGTAAGCACTGATGAACGAAAGGGTTAGTTTCTTAAGAAACTGTGTGGTGTTGCGTCGAAGAAGGAGTGAAATACAAAGATTAATTAGTTTTGACTGCCGCTTAAAAGATAGGCAAGCGTGTGTCCGCTAATTTTGGAAAGTCGATAATGGCGTGAGCTTGTAAATTAATGTTTTAGGATCTTTTAATTTTTTATTTCATCAAAATTTTAGTCTATGATAGTGGAATGTAAATCATAAATTGATCATATGTTAATAAAGATTTTTGCTTTGTTTTAACATCATCATCATTATTATTTTTTTCAACGCAGATTGGCCATTGTAGGAGGATTGAAAAGCTGACGTTTCTTCAGGACTGTTCGAGGATTTTAAACAATGTAGGATAATCGAGAAACAAGGTCTGATTGTGGTCCGAACGGGACTAAGACGCGTTAACAACTCGCGCAAGCTGCATTCCTCTGATATATAACTCTAACAGTAAGTTCAATTGGTCAATCCAATAATTCAGAAGACAAATAAAATTTCCTCCTAGTACCATTGTACACCACTGTTGCATCTCCAGAGCAGTTGGTTCTTCCCCAGCGAACGTATTTCACCCCAGACAGTCCCTTTCCCTTATCTCCTGGTTGTCCGGGGGGGACCCTGAGGGCCAACACTTCCTGTTTTACCAATCTGTCCTGTTTAAAAAGAATTATAGTGGATAAGTTTTCGTATGGAGGGAGAGAAGCAAGGTTAATCTTTAAAATCAGTTTTGAGTTGCAATTTGCATTTCCTTATCATGATCAGCGGTTTGCATCATGTTCATTCTAGGTCTTGTCCGTGTCACCAATAAAGCACTAACATTTAAAACATCTACCAGATCTATATCTAAGAAGGAGAAGCTGCAACAAAAGCACGAAAATAATTGATCTTTTAAGTCGGTCGAGGACCGCGGAAATAAACAGAAAACATAACAGTCTGTATTATGTCGAGTTTTTGATCGCTACAAAAAGCACATCATGTTCTGACCAGAGAGAAGAGAGAATAATCAGAGTGGACTGAAAACTCGAAAAGAAATTAATGAGAAATGTGTTCAGGAATGTTTGAGGAATGGTAAGCGTCATATTGACTTTTGGCTACTTTTCCATCGCACATTTGAAACTCATCTTCTCCGGGGAGAGACTGGTCATACTTCGTGGTCCCGCAATTCCTCGGGGTTCCGCGGGACCCTCTCTTCCATCTCTACCATCTCTTCCATCTTTACCGTCTTTGCCGTCCTTCCCGTCTCTGCCTGAATTATGAGGGAACATTCTACTTTACTCAGTCTCCTCTAACGCACCCGTTTTAAGACTTTGCTTTCATACAAAACGTGCCTACTTTTTCGCAGGCCATGTATATATGCACCTGCGTGCGTATGCACATGTACTGACGGCCGAGCAATTGTGCTCAGAAATTAGACAGCATTAGCCAGGATTATGTGGAAAAGCCTTCACTTTATTTAAATCTTACTAAACCGTGCAGCGCAGTGGACTTGCTATCAAAATTGGAACCTATCAACAATTTATCCAACATCGTCTGTTTAATGTTTTTAGTTCAACTTGTATGCACCGTTCATAGTATTAGGGACCTTAAGCAACGACGACAGCGACTGCTACGAAAACGACATTTTAAAAAGTGAATTTGTGCTGCCTCAAACTTTATCGCGCTTATTCACGTTGTAGTCGTGCAACGACGGCTAAGAAATGTACAAAAAAAAGCGTGATGCACGTGCAAAGTTGTTATTTTGTCAATCATGCTCAACCTATTGGTTTTTTGCCGTTCTCGTTGCCGTCAGCGTCGTCATTGCTTAAGCTCCCTATTATCTCTATGTGATCTGTTTAATGTTTGTAAATCTGTAAGTATCTATATTTTGTAAATATTACAATAAAAAGTAAAATAAAATAAAATAAACGTTTTACTATATAAGGGAACCTTTTTTCCTCTAAACCTTACCCACCGTCAGGATACACCTGTTCGTGTGGAACTTTATTAAACTCAAAAAAGTTCCGGTATGTGTGTCATTTACTTGTATTAAATCACAGTGGAACCTCGCCTTACGAGTACATCGTCTATAAATATATATGATCATTTTGATCATCAAAGTGGCCATAGTTTGTCCTCTGGTAAAATGGCTGTACATGTTCTTGTCAGCTATCCTCGTTTATTCGGCCAATGACCAAGTTAGGCAGTTTAGCAAAGATAACGCGACATCAAACGAGAACGCGAAATCGAGGGGAAAGGACAGAATGTAACATAGTTTCCAGTGCTCAATTTAACGCTCTACCATTGGTTTCGAAGGTTTTTTAGGTCTTTGCGCGGCGCATTACATCACTTTTATCACCCTCATTGTAAAACCCCAACGTGTATATCTTGCCTCAAATTTACCTGGTGTTTGTTGTACGGACAACCCGAATAAAGGATCTAAAAGGTGATATTTTTGACCTACTAGTAAATTTGCAAGATGAACTTACCAGGAGGACCTGTCTGTCCAGCTGGTCCGGGATGACCTGTTTGACCAGCCGGTCCAGGAGGGTCTGGTCTTCCATCCCTTCCATCTCGACCTTAAAATTTGAGCGGAACGACGAAGTCACTACAATTGGCTTACAAACGATTTTAAGATCCATCTCTTGGTTCTCAAGTGCCATGAAATAAAGATCTTTTTGCTACAAGGTATGTGAAGGCATACAAAACGTGTGTCAGAGGAAACATCGAAGCAATTCTCCGTATGCCTCAACACCTTTACAGGTCATGCAGATTCGCAATCCTAGTCCTAGGTTGTCATCTGGGACCAGGAAACTCGCCCCTCTCCCGTCCCACACATCCACTTGACAACATTGAAGATTGACCTGTTATGAAACTGAAAATTGAAAAGACAGTGAACATCTCAACAGTTTATAGCTCGTGTAACTTGGATACGTCATTTTGGGGGTAAACAAGACGATTTCAAATGATTTCCATTGTTGATCTTCTTTTATCCATCATTTTGAATTTTATGACGCTGTACAAGCTCGGTTAGATGCATTTCAAGTCGGCGTTATCCACGGAGTGGGGGCGGGGCGGGGGGGGGGGGGGTGGGTGGGTTAATCCCTTATATGGCCTATACGGGAATGTGCCGCTGGGCAGGGTATGGTTTTTGTCCTCTCTGTCCTAAACAGGACAAAACAGGGTATATAATTTTGCGCGAGTCTGTCCTAAACAGGGTATACAATTTGTAGCAAGCTTTTCCTGAACAGTTGACTACTTGTCCGTGGTCCTAAACAGGGTCATAAACAGGGTATGTATTTTAGGAATTTTTGGTCCTAAACAGGGTCAGGGTTACAAACCCTCAGCGGCTCAGCTAAACCAAATATTGGTCGAGTAACACCCCCTTTATTTCTACATGCGTACAATTAATTTTTGGTTTCATTCTTGACTTAAAGGTCAAATGAACCAAAACTTCGGCATTTTTTATTTTAGTTCAATTCTGGTGAAATATGTTTAATATGAACCGAATAAACATAGTATGAAGTTTCAGCTCAATTGAAGCAAGCATCTCCGAGATATTCGCAATTAAAAATTGTTATTTTTTGG